GGGGGGGGGAGAGGTCCTTTTTCTCCTCAGCAGGAGGCAGCCCCTTCACGGGTCTTCTTGTTTTGCATACGACCCTCTTTTCCCTTCCCTTCTCCTTTACCGCCCGCCCATCCACCCACCCACCGCAGGCCCTTTCAACTGCTTTTCTCTGCCAGTGCCTCTGTTTGTATGTGTGAGGTGGGGAAGGGAACACCCCAAGAAATTAGGTGGCAGTCTTGTGCGTGGCATTCCCTCCCCCTCCTAGTCTGCCTGTCTTCTTGTTTTGCATACGACCCTCTTTTCCCTTCCCTTCTCCTTTACCGCCCGCCCATCCACCCACCCACCGCAGGCCCTTTCAACTGCTTTTCTCTGCCAGTGCCTCTGTTTGTATGTGTGAGGTGGGGAAGGGAACACCCCAAGAAATTAGGTGGCAGTCTTGTGCGTGGCATTCCCTCCCCCTCCTAGTCTGTCTGTCTGTCTCTCTCTTTGTGTGTATGTGTGTACACATGCCCACACCCACACACCCATGTCGTTGTCCTGTGCCTGTAGCATGCTGCTGTTACTCAGCTCCTTTTTGCACACCCTTGTGTCCTCGGAGTGGCTGGCTCTCTGTAAGGTGCTGGGCAGGAGGAGGCTTGTGTCGTTGCAAACGATGCTCTAGAGAGGGAGAGAGGAGAGAACTGGTTTGCATCTCCGCGACCTTAAAGGGCTGGGGCTTAGTCAGCGCCGCAGGGAGCCGGGAGCCGCATCGCCAATGAGACATGCTCTAGTTCTCTTCTCTGAACGGAGACCTCGGCCCATAAATGGGACACAGGCAGGGGGTTGAGCTTCTGCCGGAAATACTGTTTGAAAGCGACATGCATCTGTTTGTGTGTGCATGTGTGTGCGTGTGTTTTAAAGGGTGTGACAACATCTCCACCATACATTTTGTTGGGGGGGGAACCTGATGATAGTTCTAAGGCTTAGAATAGGAGTAGACTTAGGCACAACTCTAGCAAAGCCATCTGTTGGTTTTCTTTCAGTCGTAAATCACTTGCACAATTTCCACTAAAATGAAGAAACTACAATTTTGTGAATCACAATCATGATTATTCCCAAATAAATCCAACAAAGTTATCCCCAAGTTTGAGAGATGAAACTTGCTTGAAAGTAAATCCTATTCAAATCAGTAGAACGTACTTTTGTGTAAATTAGGATTGCCATGTTTGCAGCTGACAAGGTTAAGGGGGGGGGGAGAGATGCAGTTTTCAGCCTTGCTGGACGTAGAGTCTTGCATAAATATTTGCATGTTAAATGAAAAGAAATTAAAGTAAAATGCTTGATCCAATTAAAATATTTGACATTTGAGATTAATGTTTAGATTAGTTTATTAAACTTGTAATAAAAGTATAGGACTGGCCTACAAATCAAAAGCAAGACCTATTTGTTCTAAATGAAGGGGTGGGGAAAATCCCTTTGGTTTAAAGCTTTGTTGGATTAAAAGATTGTGGCATGCTTCAAAAGTTTGGTTTGTGTCTCACATTATGTTAAGCCTAGATGAAAAACAGTTTTAGGACACAGCCTAATGCAATACATAAAAGTAATCTTAGCTATGTATAGTTTTCAATAAAAAGAAAAGATTCTTGCCTTTTAAAAGTTTGGGGGTCTCCTATATTGTCCATATGTTAATGACTTATATTACTTTGACTTCTTAAAAAATGTGTTGAATTATTTGAGACCAACAGATCAAATAGAGAATTTTGCTTCACAATTTACAGTGATTCAAGTTCACTCAGTAGTAGAAGCCACAATTAAACTGAAGACAATAGGGCTTGTAGCACATAAAGAGAGGATGCTAGGTTTAGGAAGGCTATCTCAAGAAATGTGCATAGGATTGCAGCCTTAGCCATTACATCTCCTAGAAGGGAACATCAAGTCCACAGATGAAACATTTTCAAATCCCAACCTTTATTGAGATGAAATAGCCAAAATGGATTGACCGAGATGGTCTCTAGCCCCATCTGAAATATAGCCTTGTTTTTGAAAATGTCAGGCAGTGGAAGTGTGTGTGCTTGGGTGTGTGTTTTGCAGGTGTTTGCAAAGATATGTACTTGTTTCATGTATCGTAGGATCTTCTAAATTGATAGAAGGAACCATGTTTCATATCTCCACCATATCTCTCTCCCATTGAGTGTGTCTGTGAGATTCATGTAAATACGTGGAAGACTGAGCAGTGCCGTAACTTTGGTGGGAAACAAGGATGGAAACAGCTTTTTTTCCCCCAAAAGAAACACTGAAATTAGTCTCTTTTTAAAAATTGTTTGGGCGAAGGAACTAGAACCAATGAACCATGTATGATTTCAGTGAATATACAGAATACAAGGAAGAGGAACATAAGTGTTCATTTGAAAAATGGTTAGGTTTGGTTTAAATTTAATTAGTTTAAATTGGCTGTGCTGCCTGGAGAATTCTGGGAATTGTCATCCAAAATGATAGACCTGCACTTGTCTATTTTAAATTATCCACTTAATTAGTAGCCTTCTGTGGACCTGGGGAAAAATGATAATATTCAATCCATTTAAGCTCTCCTATAGTTTTTCCTCTTGTTGAAGTTCACACCCATGAACCAGAATTCTCAGTGTCAGTAAAATTCATATTGGGAAGACTGCTTTCCAGTTCTGGGATGGCAATCCTAAGCACACTTACTAAGAAGTAACCCTAATTCAGCAGATGGAACTTGCTTCTGAGTGAACGTTGCTCAGGATTGCACTTTGATACATATCTATAGCAATGTAAAAATATGTTCCTCGCTTTTCACTGGAAGTGTACATGCAATATTTTTTTCAGATGGCTGTCCCATTAAATAGGTTTCCTTCAAGCATTGTATTTCCCACTTTAGCTGTCTTTCCCTCCTCCTCCTCCTCTTAAACCTTTTCTTCTGTAAATATGCTCTCAGCACTTTTCCTCTCTTTGGGTGAGGGAATGGCATAAAACAACATTTTAATGATTGTCAGCTTTTTAATATATGAAGATATCCTGATCTCTACAAGATAATGTCTTGAAAAGCAACCTAAGATTTTTTTTTAATTTTTATTTTTAAGGACACTTTTTGGAAGGTGAAATCCAGTTTATATCTTTCCTTCTGGCTGCATCCCCTCTAATGTTAGAAGATCTAATTCACACAAAAATGTTTAATTCTTTAAGGGCAATATATATGACAGATCAAATAGAAAGATTGATTAAAATGTCTTTTAAAATTGTATTTACTCTAAATATAGATGTCCATACATGCAAATTGTAACTTCTTCCTAGTGTAGTGTCTACAGAAAGTGATTTGAAACTATCAGGCCTTAATGGCCACTCAATGCCAATGTAAATTGGTTATAAAGCTATGGTTATACCAATCTCTATTGAATGTGAAGTTGGAATCAGACACTAGAGACTTATATTAGTCTTTAGTTGTCTACCCTACAGAACTCTCTTTGTTCTATATCTCCACCTTTGTCACACATCCCTATTGTATGGCCTGGTAAGATCCTCATCCTGCACTTAAGAGTTGAATTTTCTTTGAATATGATTTGCATTTTAAAAAAAAATGTTGGGCCTTGATTCTCCAATAGGTTGAAAACTTAGGGTTTTTTTTCACAGCCCCACTCCTCAATCTTCAGTAGTTACAAGAGCTATGGAGAAATTCCTCCCACTTGTCTAACTTTATATTTCACCAACCTTTTGAAATCCGATCTCTTTATCT